TAGCTGTTGTTGTTGCTGCTGTTGTTGCTGCGACTGTTGTTGCAACTGTTGCTGCAACAATCTATCTTCTTCCAGTTGTTGTTCAATCAGCAAATTTCTCATCTTTAATTTCTCACTCAGTTCATCCGTGGCCATGTTTCTCTAAATTATAATAATAATTATAATAATTATAACAATAGTAACAATTATTATTATGACAATAATAACGCCAATAATAATTATAATAAAATTAATATTTTACTTATGATAATTTTAGCTGAGTTAATGAAAATTGTCTTAATGAATTCGTTTAATAAATGTTCTTCTTTTAATAAACTATCACAATATTTTTAATAAAATCTTCAATTTTCTGGGCATATATATACGTATAAAAGAGATCACACACGCGCGCACACTCGCGCACACACATACACATACATATATATACATACATATAGACATACATATGAGCATCTATATGTAGATGTATCATATTTGCATATAAACTTTGTTACTAATTAATAAAAAAGTAAATGAGTCTGTGTGTGTTTGTATGTGTGGTATGTATGTGTGTGTGTGTGTGAGTGTGTACGTGTGTACGTAATTGTGTGTATGTAAATTAAACCTTGTTTCAGAAATAAAAGCTTTTAGTTTGATAGTAGGTTAAGTAAGGCTTTGATAAAGCTATCCGGGAACGAAAATAATGATAAATAGATGAATAATAATACTAATTTTAATATAATAATAATAAAAACAATAATAGCAATAAATAATAATGATAATAAATTTATAATAATAAAAAACAACAAACACGATTATTGCAATCTATTGCGTTTTCGCTGATAGCTCTGGATGAAAACTGAACGAGCAACCGAGAACGAGGTTGTGTTTTTCGTTTTGAATCATCATCATCATCATCGTCGTCATCATCATCATCATCATTATCGTCATCATCATCATCATCGTCATCATCATCATCATCGTCATCATCATCATCATCATTTTAATAACTTTATTACATTCCTTTATTTTATGGGGTCAGAGAAACTAGAGTTATATAAGGTTATATAAAGTTATACAGGGTTATATAGAGTTATATAGGGTATTATAGAGTTAAATAGTTATATATGATTGTATAGAGTTATATAGGGTTATATAGAGTTATATAGCTATATATGATTGTATAGAGTTATATAGGGTTATATAGAGTTATATAGCTATATATTATTGTATAGAGTTATATAGTGTTATATAGAGTTATATAGCTATATATGATTGTATAGAGTTATATAGGGTTATATAGAGTTATATTGCTATATATGATTGTATAGAGTTATATATATAGAGTTATATAGCTAAATATGATTGTATAGAGTTATATAGGATTATATAAAGTTATATAGCTAAATATGATTGTATAGAGTTATATAGGCTTATATAAAGTTATATAGTTATATATGATTGTATAGAGTTATATAGGGTTATATAGAGTTATATTGCTATATATGATTGTATAGAGTTATATATATAGAGTTATATAGCTAAATATGATTGTATAGAGTTATATAGGATTATATAAAGTTATATAGCTAAATATGATTGTATAGAGTTATATAGGCTTATATAAAGTTATATAGTTATATATGATTGTATAGAGTTATATAGGGTTATATAGGGTTATATAGCTATATATGATTGTATAGAGTTATATAGGGTTATATAGAGTTATATAGCTAAATATGATTGTATAGAGTTATATAGGGTTATATAAAGTTATATAGCTAAATATGATTGTATAGATTTATATAGGGTTATATAAAGTTATATAGTTATATATGATTGTTTAGAGTTATATAGGGTTATATACAGATATATAGCTATATATGATTGTATAGAGTTATATAGGGTTATATAGAGTTATATAGCTATATATTATTGTATAGAGTTATATAGGGTTATATAGAGTTATATAGCTATATATTATTGTATAGAGTTATATAGTGTTATATAGAGTTATATAGCTGTATATGATTGTAGAGTTATATAGTGTTATATAGAGTTATATAGCTATATATGATTGTATAGAGTTATATAGGTTTATATAGAGTTATATTGCTATATATGATTGTATAGAGTTATATAGGGTTATATAAAGTTATATAGCTATATATTATTGTATAGAGTTATATAGGTTTATATAAAGTTATATATGATTATATTGAGTTATAGTATTCTGTGAAAATTGCCACCATTTTGACGAGTCGCTGATGTGTTTAACGCCTTCCAAAGTGTCAAATACAATTTTTTTCTTACAATTTTTTTAAAAAAATTATAAACTATATATGTTTAGGTCTTCAAAATTGAAAGAAACCTTAATAACGATCATTTTTATCAGAATTTTTGTGACAATTTTGTATTTAACTCCGCGTATTTCGAGTTTGATTGCTTTTTTCTTTTTAATCAAATCAGAAATTTTCATTAATGTTTTTTTTTGTATGAGTTTTAGTTTTTAGTTATTTCTGTATTTGTCTAATGTACATTATACTATTTTTAAATTGTTGTTCATAAATGTCACTGGTCTATGCTAATTTTATTAGTTTATATCGATTTATAATGCTATATTAGTGAATTATTTTAGATAGATATATGTATTAATGATTAAACAGCACAGCTGATTAAAATTTTACAAATTAAAACGCACCCAACCTTTGCCGAAAGTAAAACAGATTGAACATAAACAGTAATGGCATCTTTTCTCAACAGGTTCCGGAATTTTTCAATTTTTTCCTAATTTTAACTCAAACTTTTCACCTAATTTTTATTTTTTGAATATTAAAATAATTATTTTATACTTAGGAGAAATAATTTCGAGAAAATTCTTTCGGAGAATATAATAAGCCTCGATGCCTTGAGAAAACTTACATTCAGTGGTTAGTTGGGAGGCGTGTTTTAAAAATAAATAAAAATGAAAGTTAAATTTATTTAATGTAATTATTATTTCTAAAATTATTTAATTATAATTTAGTAGTAATTATAAATTATTTTATTATTTTTGTTATTTTTTGGCAATTTTTTAATTCATTTATAATTTTAATTGGAAAAAAGTCAAATGACCACTCCTATTTTGTTTGTCTCAGTTCATTATCTTAAATTTTATTTCTATTTAAAAAAATTCATTGTTTGTTAGAATATAATGAACACACATACACACACACATACACACACCACATATATACACACACAAATATTTATATAATATTAATTTATTTATATATTATAATTTATCTTATATATAGTTGGATGTGTAGACAATCTGCCTCTGAGAGCAACAGTATGGAAGGTTAAGAAATTTTTTTCAAAAATTTTTTAATATTATTCTTTATTACTGTTGTTATTTATTATTATTATTGTTGTTGTTATTGTTGTTGTTATTGTTATTATTTTTTCCCCGGACAATTAGATACTCCTGTTCTATCTACCTGTTGATAGGTCTATATGGTCAGCCACACTTGAAAAACAAAGGTTGGTTGGTTGGTTGGTTGGTTAATTGGTTGGATAGTTAGCTGGTTGGTTGGCAGGTTGGTCGACTGGTTGGTTGGTTGGTTGGTTGGTTGGTTGGTCTAGAAGCGATTGGTTGGATGGTTGATTGATTGATTGATTGATCCAGGAGTATATACAGTCAGTTTGTTAAAGAAATTGTTTTGGAGTCATTCAATGAAGAGAACGACAGAAACAACAACAAAACCATCGCTATCGACGACCATGTTTGTTCATTCATTCATTTGTTCATTCGTTTATTCATTCATTCAATCGTTTATTCATTCATTTGTTAATTCATTCATTTTTCCATTCATTCATTCATTCTTTCATTCAGCCAT